AAAATTCAACGTACATTTCAGTTTCAAACAAACCTCGACTACGATGATCCAACAGAAATCGTTTTTTCCACATCGCAAACGTCAGCAAAATTATTTAAAAGCCTTACGGTGGAACCAGAAAGTAATGTACGAGTCTACATACGCTTCAGGCCTCAGCCTTCACGCGAATTTCAAGAACTCTATCATCAAAGAAATCCTGATTTATTTGAAGAGAAAACTGTTGAAATTTATGTGAATTGCAGACTTGTAAAGGATTATCAGAAAACTGTTATACTCAAGGCAGAATGTCGAATGCCTTCATTAGTGGTGGAGTACGAGGAGTTCGATTCATTTAAAGGTAAATATAGATTGTATAAATTATAGTCTCGTTGCCAAATATAACAAATTAAATAATGACTTTATTCTTTTATCAAGGAAAAATTTCACGTCGAGATATAAATTCCAAAGAGGACGACGAATGGATAATACAATTTAATCAAGATTTTCGAGAAATTAAGATCAAAAATCTGCTTCAAATTCCTTTAGAATATGAAATAGTGAACGACACAATGTATTTTGTTTTGGAATTTCCTACGGAAAATAAAATAATTACCTCGGAATCGTTTCATGATGTCATAGTACGGCCAAATATTAAATCTCTCATTAAGAACGTGGAAAGTGTGCGAAGAGTGGGTATTCGTTTCATCATGTATTTGTATAACTTTTATTCCGCTAATTTACATTAAAATTTTTCACAGGAGAAATACATACAAGAGAATATAACGGTTTATAATAGAAACAGACCGTTGGAAAACTATTGGATAGCTTTAAGAATTAGTTTTGGATACGTTTCCAATTTCCAGGTACCTATTAATCAGATAGACGAAATTGAATCAATATTGTAACATTCAATTAAGTCAGTTATTTACAATCAAAATTAGCTGGCATCTGGATACAAAGTATCTTATGCCTTTAGTATGCTCGAAAATCATACTGTTCGATTTTTAAGCGATTTCAACCAAAACCTTCATCTCTTTGTGCCATCCGAAACTCCGAACGATGAGGTTAGTTGAGTTGAAATATATTTTATTGTTTTATTTCTTATACAGTATACGAAGTTTTCTTATGTGCACTTTAAAAAATTACAAAGCAAACCAATAAGAAAATGGTAGACCTCAGGTTTCAATACTATTTCATAGTAGATCAGCTGGTTTACTATGCAACCATAAAAACGAGCGAAAACTGGTTTCAGCTGGCTAGTTTGCTTTTCGGGTAAACAAATTTTACTTGATTTTTCTCTTATTTCATTCTATTATCGAATATTCCCTGTTGACCTATATATAATTCTATTATTCTATTGTAGAACTGTACTCGGTCGTCAGACTTTTCAAAAATTTGGACCTGCGTATCTTAAAAAACCTGATAATACAGAGCAGGATGTCAAAGTCTGGCCTGAAATTTTGGTAAAATGGGTAGGTATAAATGTTTTTATACGCTTTCATGTATGCCTGATTAACTTATTATCTTTCTTTTTACTTGTATTAGGTCTCTCCATTAAATTATTTCATTTCATTTTTTCCCTATCAGAACCCGATGCTTGAAACATTAAAAGAGCTTCATAAAAATCTAATAACAATTCTATAGATAGGATTCATATTATCATTTAGAAGTCTATTGTTGTCCGTTTATCTGTTAATTTGAAAGACTTTTTGGAGGGTGAGATTAACTGTAATATTATAAACAGGGAGGTGAAGATAATTTATTTAAAACAAGTCTGCAATTTTGTTTACATCATCTATGGATAAAATAAATGCTAATACTGTAGGTCCCCGGATGATGAAATCAAGTAAAAATTATTAATCATCTGTAATATAGAAAATTATGAATGTAACCTGAGCATTATTAATATTCTTATAATGATATAATATTAAATATAATAAAGAGATTTCTTCGAATGTACATAAAGTCACCAATTTAAAAACGAAAATTTGTTGTCTCCAAAAAGAAACCTATATTATACATCACATTTTATTTTGTATCAGACTAGAGACTGTTGTCTAAAAAAAATTAATCCAACTCATTGCTATATGAAAGATCAACGTGGTTATAAAATATCCAATTGAATTTCAACATAAAATAGTACCTACTAAATAATACTACAATGTTCAAGTACTTTATTGAATTGTGGGCTAGTAAAATAAAAAACATTAAAAAAAAAAGGTTATGTGCAATAGCAATACTCTCCCCAAAAATTTCTTACCATTGTGACAGCTGATCTCTTATGCCCAACATCTTCATGCCTCCATAAAGATGTTACTGTTTTGGTTTGT